TAAACCCCAAGATGCAGCAGACCTCTCCTGTCTTAGCCGCTGCTCCCCTTAACAGTGTATTTCAATAGACACCCCTCTCCTGCTCCCCACTCTGTTTCTGGTGAATCCTCTCATCCCCTCCATCTCTGGCCTATACCCAGTTCTTGTATGTGTAAAAAAATAAATATTAAAAAAACCACAACTCTACCACCTATGTTGTTTCTGAAGCTACTCTTCAGAGTGGCAGAGGAGAGCAAAATAAATATTCTAACATGTAAAGTTTGGGAAAGTGAAAAAAGAATTTCCAATAAATTCATTACTCTAACACAGCTATTATCTGTGGCCAATTTCTTGGTCAGTTCCCCCAAACTTGTTTATCATTGCATCATAAACATTTCATGTTACTACACAGTCTTTGTATCAATCATTTGTAGACTGTCCTTAGGACAGATTCCCAGAAGTGGGGTGGTGTGTCAAAAAGTATGAACAATTTTATGGCTCTTGCTACACATTGCCAAATTGCTTTTGAAATCTTGTGTCAACTAACATGATCTCCAAAACTTCAGTCCTGAGGAAAGGGAAACTTCAGGCTGTGGGGATGAGCCCCTAACGGGTTTGCCACTTCCATTAGCTCATTCATCCAGCAAAATGCCTGTGGGGATATAATGTATATTTGATGCTGCTGGTCAAGCAGTAACATACAGTAAAACAGGGTCCTGTGGTGGCTAAAGAAAATGTATCCTCAGCAAGTCTCTGAAAATAAACTTTAAATTAGGTTGTGTGTGTAAAAGGCCTCTACACTCGATTGCTCTTGGGGCTATAAAGATGGCACGGTTTGCATTCAGCCCTGGCTGTCATCAGGGTTGTGAATAGGGAGGCTTTCTGTAAGTTGTCTCTGAGGGCCACTTCCTTCTTACCAAACTCTGCAAGATGTATGGCCCATGGAAATATGTATTTGTAATCACCTGGTTGACTGGGTATCTGCTTTCTCTGCACCCCCTAATGCTAAGGGTTGCGGTGGTATCCAGCACTTCTATGGTTATTAAAGGGGAGGGCCTTCCTGTCTAAAAACCTGTAGTCCAAAAAGTAGGCTGGGATAAATTGGCCTGCAGTTCCCATCTTTCCAGTTTAGGGCTGACTGCCCTTTGTATGCTCTAAGCTCCAACATGACTTTCTTTTCCCCCTTCCTGAGTGAAGCTGTGTTCAGTTAGGGGGAGCTAAAGCCACAGACCCCAAGGAACAGGAAGGGAAGTAGAGGTTCTCTGCAAGCAGCCTGCTTTACTGGCTGTAGGTCTGTGTTTTGGTCCAAACCACTGAAGGAGAAAAGCAATCTAATTATATTCACCATCACTGGGCAGTAAACCTAATTAGGTTCTCTTATATGTTCACCTTTGTTAAGCTCTAGAGTTGCAGGGAACCTGCTTTTTAGAAGTCCATAGCCTAAGGAGGAGTACAGAGACAACAGGGTGACTATTGTTAGCTGGGGGTTTCCACAGGGAGAGCAATTAGATGGGAGAGGTAGGAGAATCACTGATTCTAAAAGGAGGAGACACAGTTTCAGGTAAGGATCTTTCATTTCCTGGCTATGAGATCTTAGACAAGACCTGTAATCTTTAACATTGACATAAAAATTAAATAAGATAATATACGTGGCTATGGAACAGTGCCAGGAGGACAGACATACACACACAGCACATGTTCAGGAAAGTGACAGGCCAGGCCTCGGGATAGTCAATAGAAGAGCCAGGTGAGGCCATCTTTTCCTTCTCACTTATGCTTTTTTTTTTATTTATTTATTCATACAGAACTGGGGTACAAGTCTGAGTTGCAGGAGCAGTGAGAGGCTTCACCAGAGACAGAGCGGGGAGCAGAACAGGCAGATCAACGAAGCACACTGCTGAAGGGAGCAGTGGGCGGGTCAGTAGAGGTCTGCCACGCCATGTGCATCACCTCCTGGGTGGGGATTGAACTCATGATGAAGTGGCTTTAGCTTCTTAGTACTGTGCTTTAACCCGCTGTGCCACCAGGGAGGGCCCCTCACTTATGCTTTAAGTTGGCTTCTGTTAAGTGGGCCAGGTAAAGGCAATGACCCTGAAATTCTGAAGGATGCAGGGCCCTGGCAGTCCTCCAGCGCCACTCCTTACATTTAGGAGCACAGCATGGGGTATGTATGCCCCTTCCCTGTAGGCAGCTTAAGGCCAATAGCTTTGGTCAAGTTTCTGGTGCCAGAGGCTGCAACAGCAGAGAATGACCTTGCACTTTCAGGAGAGAGGCTAAGAATCAAAACCGAGTCTCCCCATTTATCCACGGCAGAAAAGCCCCTGATGCAATCCTTCTGGGTGGTGGCAGACAGCTCAGGCCGAGGACGGGTCATGCAGGCCTCCAGTAGAATATGTTCTCTCTCTTGCCCAGCCTCTTTTTCTCCCTGTCAGCTCTATGAGCTGAGTCTTCTAGACCTTCTGTCTGGGTGGTCCTTCCCACATCAGTCTCCCCCTTTCTCCAGACACATTTAATTATTTAGCAATTAGCATACAAAGGCCTGGCTTATGCACCTCCTCAGGGGTGGAGATGGATATGGATAAAGAAAGTATACACTGCACTTCTTCAGAAATAAAGTTTTTAAATTATGCTATGTAGGCCCTTACATTGCTCTTGGGGTTCCAACGAAGGACAATCTCCTCCCACCTTCCTCTCTGGATGGGAGTGGGATTGGAAGAATAATATGATGAAAGACTGAAAAGACCTTTGGATAAAAACCTTGAGAGCAATCTTAGCAGTCAGTCCTTCACAGACTCGGGGAGCTCTTGCCAGCAGGTAGTGGTGAGGTGGCTCCTGGGGTAGTAGCTATCAAATTTTGTCTGACCTGGCAAACTCCCAGACCCCTACTCCTCAACACCTTCCAGAGTCCTCCAAGATGTGGCTTGGACTGACACTCCCTTCCTCCTTTCCTCTAGTTCCTCATGGAGCGGCACTGGGAAAGGCAGAGCAGTTCCTACCATCTCTTTTGTTTGCTTTACTCTTCAAGCTTCTGTCCCATGGAGAGGTGACTGGCAAGCATTCAGTTGCCCACTATATTCAGACATGCTCAAACCTTTTATAGTTACTGCCGAAAGGAAACAAAAGTTGTCCCTGCCTTCTGACATACAGAGAGCAAGCAGAAGAGAAATCAAGGCGTCTTGGACACTTAGCCAGTCCTGAAGTTATATAGTCGAAAACAGCAAGGTCCTGTATTCCAGTTGGGACTGAGATTCAGCAAAGTCTTCCCCTGGAGAAACTTTACCTTGTCTGTTTTCTCCAGCTTTCTCCTTTCCTTGGTGCAGGGGCTGCTCATGGGCTTGTACAAGGGGGAGGCAAAGGAGAGATTTTTTTCCTCTTTCTTATTTTCAGGGGTTCCATGGCTCAATGGGGAAGATAAAGAAGGGACACAGAAAGGATTTGGGAAAGTTAATCAATTTTTTGCTCCTCCTCTACCCACCCTTCCCTCCAAACCTAAGCAGTACCATTTCCTTTCTAGGTTCAGAAGTAGTTTTCTGACCTCTTGGATCACCTGGACCCCAAAAGCCAAAGTCCTAAGAAAGGAGACAATACTGAGAATAGGAAGGTCGTTACAAGTCACCCAATCCCACTATCCCATTTTGAAGATGTGAACATGTAGGGACAGAGGAGAGGCAGTGAGTTGGCCAAAGCCAAACAACATTCCAGAGGACAGGTCTTAGTCCACCCAGGCCTGGACTGTCTGCAGTAGTACATGGGCCCCTTAAACTAAATAGTGGGGAACATCTGTTCTCCCTCAGTCTGACTGCTTTCAACCATTTCTGTCAGGCTATTTCAGCTTCTGTCTGATTAGGGCAAACATTCAGGCACCTTGTCCTGACCAGAAGGAGGAAGGTGGAGCTACAGAGCTCCCAAGAAGGCTGGTGGAGGAGGTGGAGATGCCCTAGGGTAGGAATATTCATCTCATTCCTCACAAGTTCAATGAACACAACACTAAGATCAGGCAAGATTACTCAAGTGAATCTGAGATTTTTGAAGTGATGTAGAAACCAGTATTTCAAATCAGTCTTTATAATTACTGCCACCCACAGTGAAGACATCAAGAGAAACCTTTACTTTGATAATTCTAAGAGGTGAAATCTCACCCCAGGAACCACTTTTATCTCTAACCAAACACCTGCAGGATGTAAAATCAGTGCAGGGAGAGGCAGTGTGTATATGTGTGTTTGGGAATATGGAAATCCATTCCTCAATTATCTGAAGGAGTGTGTATAATTAGGTTATAAAGGAGTGCAGCTGAAGAAGAGTTTCAGAATTTCAGAACCTATAACCATGTTACAGGTTTTCTTGCTTCTTCCTTGCGAGGCTGGTCAGACCTCCCTATGGGGAGGTAAGAAGGGGTGTGGTTTCCTAGAACATGGACTTCTTTTATTACTCCTTCTTCCGCTAAAACTTGGGGGATAGGCTTGTTGGTTAGGTGGCAGTTGCTTTCTGCTTCTTTTATTGTCTCCAAGGAATACACCTGAGCTGGATGAAGTAGCGGGAGACTGGGAACATAGGGAGTAACTGGCATGGGTAGAGGGTGAGGTTGGGGGTTGAGTGGTGGCAGTGGCTGCCAATTTGTGTGGCAGGTACGGGAGCAGAGTAACAAGTCCTGGGCTAAGGCTTGGGCCACCCTAGCCCAGCAGAGGCAGGGAGTATCATGTGCAGACACGGCACTGCCAGAAGCGAAGCCTATCAGTGGAGAAGGCCTGATCAGGGTCAAGGACTGGAGTACTCCAGGTTCTCTAAGGTGGCAGGTGCTTTAATGGACGAGGCTGGGCCAGTGAAGCAGAAAGTAGCTAGGAGTTTCACCACTGAGCAGCTATTGTCTCTACCTCAAAACTTTGGTACATAAGAGTTAGGTCATTGTTGTACTCAATTGCTCCAAACGGACAAAACTTTACCATATGACTCATGAATACACAGTGTGTATCCCTGGAGCCCACCTGACACGGAGGTTGGAACTACTCCACAAGTTTCCAGCATGCCTTTGGGAGCGCTTCTTTATTGGGAAATAAATACAGAGTCAAACAGATGGGCCGGCCAATATCCGTAGTACTAAGGACCAAGAAGACGGAATCTGACTTGCTGGTAAGTCAGATCTCCATGAGCTGGTCATTCCCCACGATCACCTCGTTTACTCGCTTGGCTACAAAAGAAAAGAAAACGTTCTTTGAGAACTGGCAGCAAAAGAGGTAATTTCAAAACTAATTATATCTAATTCTATGTTCATAAACATTTCTTTCTTTCCTGTGTAACTCTGCTCTTGAGAGAATCTTGGGAACAGAATTTGCCAAAGGGACTATAAGAAAGATAGCATCTTCCCATGCAGGAACCAAGTCTCTAACACCTGGCTCTTTGGAGAGAGACATCACACACAGCAGGGGGACTGGAGCTGGATGTTAAAGGATGAATAGTGTTTTTCAGGTTGTAAATCAAAGAGAGGGCATTCCAGGTTGTTAGAAAAGGAGCAAAGACATAAAGATATAAGAAAGGGGAACATGAAATGCTGGGGTGTAGTCAGAGAATAAGGAAGGTGGGGGGAAGAGTGATAGAAATAAGACTAAACGGATAAATAAACATATCCAAAGAAGGAAGGAAGATGCCTCATATATAACATGAAAATAATGCCACCTACTCCATAGGGTTGTTGAGCGGAATCAATGAGTTAAGGCATCATTTACTGCTCAACGGAGGACATTATTTTGCTAAATTCAAACCTAAAATGTCTGCTCCATGGTCTACCTCTCCAGGCTCACTTCCCACCATTCTCCATTTATACCTATCAGTGCTAGACCTCAGCATATTCTGTTCCTCTGCTCAGAGGGCCTTTTTCTGTCCCCAATCCCTCTTATTCTAAATTCCCCAATCAAGCACCTCTACTACATGGAAACAACCCAAATGCCCAAAAGTAGATGACTGGATTAAAAAGAGGTGGTACATATATACAATGGAATATTACTCAGCAACAAAAAATATTACTCTAGCAACTTGGATGGAGCTGGAAAAGATCATGCTTAGTGAGATAAGCCAGAAAGAGAAAGAAAAATACCGGATGGTTTTACTCATAGCAGGTGTATAATGGACCAGGCAAGAAAATAACAAGAATAATGAACAATCATATACCAGAGACATTTTTGTTGGGGTGGAGTGGGGAATGGGATCAAAAACAGGGGTGGGGGGTAGGGAAGGAAGTGCACGGGATTATGGTGATGGCACACGGGTGACTTGGTGATGGGAAACCCATGGGGATTACAATTGAGATGAAAAAAAAATGTAAAAAATGATGTAAAAATAAACTTATAAAATAAAAAAGAAAATTTATAAAATAAAAAAACTAATCAAAAGAAAAAAAATTATATAGATATTACAAATGTGTACAAAAATTACACTAGGAGTTACTAAAATAATACCTAAATGAAAAAAAAAAAAAAACACAAAACACTTTACTAGGGCCTCCGTGGGGGTGCAGGGGGTTAAGTCCAGCACTATGAAGCTCTCCACAGTCACTGCAGCACGAGTTCAATTCCAGGCCAGGGAGGTGATCAACATGGCACCGCAAACCTCTCTTTTCTCACCTGCTGCTCCCCTCAGCTGTGTGTTTCAGTACACCTGCCTGTTCTGCATCCTACTCTGTCTTTGGTGAATCCTCTCACCCCCACCCCCTGCACCTCTGGCTTGTACCTCAATTCTTATATACATAAATAAATCTTTAAAACAAACAAACAAACAAAACCCCCGTATTTTACCTAATACGTATCTCTATCTTTACAACACTGTATATCATTATATCATTCTCCTCTGCTTCCCTGTAAAAATCTCACTGGCAAGGGCAGTGTGTTTATGACTATACCTCAATAGTTGGCACAGCTAATGGCACACGACAAATTTCAGAGGTTTTAGGTAATGACAAAGATAGGATAAGGTTATGGAAGTAGTTTGCTAAAGCTGAAAGGAGCTAAAGGTTAGAAGAGTAGATGAGTTGAGGGAATTGTGAAGCTGTGGGTTAGATAGTTCACCAGTGAACATTTAAGTTGGCAAAGTTGTTTGGCGAAAGAGAGGTGTTGGAGAGGAAGACTGTGAACTGTCAATATACTTAGGAGAGTGTCCTGGGAGCTGGCCAATGATGTGATGAAAAGTTAGGAGAAAAAAGGTTAGGGGGAAAAAAAAGGTTAGCTTTCAAGGAATAAGAGCTACGGGAAGGAGGCACAGACCCAACGGTCTGGGGGGAGGAGTAAGGGGAGCTAGGGGCTTCCTGCTTGGAGGTATCAGGCAAATGTAGGAGGCCGGAGAGTTTCCCAGTCTCCTACTGGTTCAGAGGGAAAATGCTATCAGCTGGCTGAAAATGAATTGTTTCTGTGCTACCTCCCATGGCCCATGAAGACCCAACACCTTTCATGCCACATTTGGAGGTTTAAGTGTGATCCTGATAGGTCAGGCAGAAACTCTGGTTTTCCTGAGACTCTACTCCTCAGCTTTTGGTGTAGGAAAAATGACGATCCTTGCTGACGAGACCAAGGTTGATAGACATGTGGATCTTTCATATTGCCTTTAGCTGGGAGCCTCCTTGTGCTCTGCCAGTAGAAAGGAGGCTTCTGATGGTCTCTTTGGAGACATTGAGATTTCAGACATGTCTTCTGCTCTACCCACATTTTGAGCATTGTAGGAATATCTCCCTTATTTCCTCTATTCTCGATTACCCAAGTGACTTGTAGTTTTCAACACATTACTTCTTTTCTTTGCCTTTGGATGCTGGTATTATGGCTCCCCATTTATATATTTGGAAAATACTGTAAAATTTCAAGATTTCACCTTAATTTTTTCTTTTAAGATGGTATTTCTGATCTATGTGCCAAGAACTAACCAATTTCTCTTAGTTGACCCCAACAATTTTCTACCAATATAATCTGTGAAACCTTACTAGACTTATTTATTTACTTGTTTGTCTCTCTAATAGTCAACAAATAGCTCACAGCAAGTCTTGTTAATTTTTATACCCAAGTACCAGAGCCTAGATAGTGGTGATGTTTGTTGAATGTGAGTGAGTAATTTGGGGATTATATGAGAGTACAGATGTAGGAAAAGAAGTATGGTTGGAAGAGATGACCTCTAATTTCTTGTTAAAGAGAATATACTGTATAACTGGTGTATTATAGCAAGGGATTCAAACCCTCTTCAAACCTCTTCTCACCTTCAGTAGGAAAAGAAACCTAGGTTTTAGTCTTTCACAAAGTTTGCTGTCCACCACATTGGACAGAGAAAATCTCATGTGAGAAAGAAAGGATAGGAAAGGAAAGAAGAAAAAGACAGTACAGGCAAGAAATCTTTTGAAGTTTTAATCTTTAAAACTTGTATTTATTTTTATTGATGTAACACTGGTTTACAACACCTATATGATTTAGAGATATAGGTTCACATTTCTCAGATGTTTGTTATCACACCACACCTACCACTAAAGCACCCATAATATTCTATCAAAGACCACTGGACTCCTCTCTGCTTTATTTCTTAATCCCAAAGAAAGAGATTTTGAGTCATAAAGACTTGAATTCCAATATGACTTTAAGCAAATTATGTCACATCTTTTGGGTTTTAGTTTCCTGACAAAGTTGTGGGGAATCAACAAAAATCTCCAAAGAGCCCAGCATAGTGCTTTGAAAAATATTAAACAGAAGTTACAGAATGTGACAGGGTCCAGGCTGTTCACTCCTACTTAAGGAAGTGATTTTTTTTTTATTTTAAAGATTTATTTATTTATACACACGTACAAAAACTGGGGCAGGGGTGTGGGGAAAGGATTCAAAAGTCAGAGGGGGGAGCAAAATACGTGGATCTACTGAAATACACCACTGAAGAGAGCACTGGGGAAGATAGGAGAGGTCTGCTGAGCCATGTGGGGTAGCTCCGTGGCTGGGGATCGAACTTGTGCCACAGTGGTTGGCGACAGCCTGATAGTGTGATTTAATTTCTACGCCATCAGGGAGGCCTGGAGGTGATTCTTTCTATACTTCACAGTCATCTGAGAGGAACGGGAAGGAGCCTAATAGTGCTCAGACACCTAATTTCTCCAGGGCTGGGGCTGTTTCTGGACTATGACTGACTAGTCAATCAGGCTCTATCCTGGAGCTAAGACTGATCAAAAAGAACAAAGGAAATGTTTTTCTGGCTGGTTTCCCAGGGTACCTCTTTAAAAGCTCCATTTTTATCCTTTATTCCTCTACAACTATGAATCAGTTCCACCCTCTAGACTGACATTTGCTCTGCTTTCATCCAGTGTCTTCCTAGTTTCCAGGGCTTGTTCTGAAGACAGTTCTAGTTCCAGTTAACCCTCTCCTTGAGCATCAATTCTCCAGATCAGAGAGGCAAATTATGTGCCTGCCTGGGGTAGACAATGCTTTCTTCTCTGAGCTTTTTCTCACCTGCCTTCCCTACTCTTCCTTCTTCCCTATAGTCTGTCTGCTCTTGACCTGGAGATTAGAAAAGGCTTGTTCACTAGAGAGTCAGGGTATTTTGAAGGTATTAAATGTATTTTCATGGAGATTTTGTAAGATAGAGGAAATCTGGAGGGAACAATAAACAATACTAGTTTTGCTAGGCTGTATTTTTTCCAGAAAATACAGAAGGGAAGTTCTGGGCTGGAATCAGGTTGGGCAACATCCTAAAGGGACAAGTATAAAGGAGGATGGCAATTTGGAGGAAAAAACAATGGGATAGAAGGGAGTGACAAGTCACAAATCAAAGCTATACTGCTGGGAAGCTGGGAAGGATTCCTCCTAGCCAGGGGTTGACCTATGCAACCACCAGGTCTACTTTCACAGCAAAAAGATCACTGAAGTCTCAGGAATGAGAGCTGTGTCATCTCTTTACAGCAAGAAGATATTCAGATGAGGTGTCCAGTCAAATTTCCCAGGCCTTGACTTTGTTAGCTGTGGCCTTTCTACTGGTTGAGTGTAAGTCAACTTGTCTGCCAGAGATGATTTCACTGAGCATGCTGGGGTGGGATGAGAAAAGCCAGAGTTGCTAGAAACTGCTAGAGACTTATACTTGGGTGATAAGAGTCACATTTTTGAGGTAGAAGACTGGTATGGATGTGGTGATAGGTATGCAAATGGTTAGGGTTTAGAGAGGGGACACCATTACCTCTGAGGATGCATGATCTTTCTTGAAATATCCATGTGAGGGAGACTGACTGTGAATTTTGCTATGGACTGAGTTCTTTGCTGATGAGGACTGGAGTCACTAGTGTTTGTCTGGGTCATCCATAGTTGAGCGCTACACTGTTAGCCAGGAATTTGCTTTTTCCATATGGCTTGGCTGCAGAGATGTTTAACCAGGAGCACCTGGAGCAGGAATTCTGCTGTGCTAAATTGCTAGATGCCTTGGTTCCTTCAAAGATGACAGAGAAAAGGAATGGTTGGAATTTTCCAGTTGAGTACATATGACCTCCTGGTCACCACTTTTCCAGGATCCTATTAAGGAGTCTCCTTACTAAAAAATGGGCACATAGTTAAGAGACAGACAGATTTTAAGTCTATGATACCCCAAAGGCTTGGCCTGTTCTGGGATCCCTGATGGAAGATGCCATTTCTTAAATCTTCAGTATCTGGCATTCAGTTGTTACTCATGCATCATGAAAAGGGGTCCTTGAAGAGTAAATGGAATACAAATACTTTGCTGGGCATGGGGAGAAATAGTGTGGCTCCAGGTTACTGCACATGGGAAAGAAGGAACATTTTAGGGTGTTGGCAAATGGAATTCATTCATTCAAAACATGCCTATGGCATCTAAACCCTTTAATAAAAGCAACAAAAGGAAGCAGTTCCTAGCCTCCAGAGGAACTGAAAGAAGAAAACACTGGGGGATGTTTCTACTTTTTGCTGAGCAGGAGATAATTTACTAAGACAAAGAGGCAAGAAGGAGGTGGAAGGAACAATGTGTGTGGTCACAAATCCAAATAAAAGAGAACAAAGAGGGACTGAGAAATGCAACACGGAGACAGAGGAGGGACAGAGTAAGAAAGAAGCTCCACAGAAAATGATGTGGCTTCTACAAATTCAAAGCTGAGTTGCTGCTTTTAAAGTTCTGGGGATCCCTTCGAAGGCCTCCCATGAAACAGAGAAAAGGCTGGAGATTCTGAATCCTATTTTTAAGAAACTACCAACAGGTAGGCCTTCCCTGGTGGTGCAGTGGGTTAAAGCACAGACTATGAAACCTGGCCAGGGAGCTGACCCACATGGCGCGGCAGACGTCTCCTGACCCTCACGCTGCTCCTTTCAGCAGTGTACTTCATTGATCTGCCTGTTCTGCTCCCCACTCTGTCTCTGGTAAATCGTCACCACCCCTGCACCTCTGGCCTGTACCCCAGTTCTTATATGCATAAATAAATAATTTTTTTGAAGACTTACTTATTTATGTATACAGAACTGGGGTATACACTGCTGAGAGGAGCAGCAGGTGAGACAGGAGAGGTCTGCTGCACCATGTGGGTCACCTCCCTGGCGGGGATTGAACTCATGCTGGCCACTAGCTTTGTAGTGCTGCACTCCAACCCAGTGCACCACCAGGGAGGACCCTAAATAAATAAATCTTTAAAAAAAAAAAAAGTAAGTAAAAGTTGCTCAGTAAGCTTCCAGGACTTGTATGTACTCTTTACAATATCTGACTGTATTTAATTGTCACAGTGACATTCAAAGATAGATATTATTATTTCAAATTTTCTAGTTTTGAAAATCTGAGGCCTAAAGAATAAATTTTTAAAAAATAATATAATAGTTTATTTTTACATCATTTTGTGCCTTTTTCCATTTTAGTTGTAATCACCTTGGGCTTCGCATCACCAAATCACTCATGTGCCATTGTGCCATCACCAGAGTCCAGTGTATACCCCCCCCATTTTTGATCCCATTCCCCATTCCACTCCCATAAAATGTCTCTGGTATATAGTTGTTCATTATTATTATTATTATTATTATTATTATTATTATTATTATTATTATTATTATTTCCCCTGGTCCTTCATACTCCTGCTATGAGTGAAATCATCTGGTATTTTTCCTTTTTTTTCTGGCTTATTTCACTAAGCATGATCCCTTCCAGCTTCATTCATGTTGCTACAAAAGGCAGAGTTTAACCTTTTTGATTGCTGAGTAATATTTCATTGTGTATATGTCCCACATAAAGAATAAAATTTTAACCTGGTGTACATTTAGTGAGTTTCTTAGCTGAGATCTGAACCCAGGTCTGTTTGATTATAAATTATAAAAAGGGGGCATATGACTTTTAAAAAGAGAAGATGAAGAAAAATTGAAGAAGCCTCCATTCATTGGAGAGAAGAAAAATAATGTGGCTTCTACAAATTCAGAATTGGTGAACATAGGCAACTGGAGCTCCAGCCTGGGTTGGGGGGAAGGCCTGGGTAGAGAATATGTGTGTGATAAAAGGTCCACTGGTAGCTAACACATTCTGGGTTATGCTGGGGTTAATTCCTTCAGAAGCTCCCCTATTCACCCTATTTTAGGTTTATGAATAATCTCAAAAGGAATTATTCTTATTGATTTTGAGCTTTGTCCACTTTTTGGTTAAAAATATCCAGTCAAATTATGTTCTTATTTGCTCAGTCAAGTAGGGAAACCCTGATGCTTGTACGGGTCTCAAGTGCTATGTCTTCTTTCGATAGGCTATAGAGCAGAGTGAGCTAACAGCACAGCTCATAGCATCACCTCTAAGCAGTTGAGGATAATTCTGAATGAATAACTTCTGAAGAAGCTGTTAACCTCCCAGGTCAGGAAATCGATGGGACTACTTCCCCTAAATACTAGGTCACTTGAAGTGCTTAAGGACTTTAGCACCAGCAGGCCAGAGCTACTTCTAGAACCTTCTTTGTGAAATACTCATGCCAACCTAGGCCATTAGGTCTCTTTGTTAGGCTTAAAATTTTTTGGTCGTTAAGCTGCACACATATATGAGCTTGCCTATAGGATAAACTCCTAAAAGTGGAACTAAGTCAAAGTAAAAATATTTGACAATGATATCAATCCCCCACTTAAGATGGCTTTATCAACTTGTGTTCTTATCTGCAGTGTATGCATGTCCTTATTCCCAGCAATGAGCATTACTGGTATTAGTATGATCTGTAAAAAACTGTAATTTGGATTTTGATTTACCTTTGGCATCAATCCTCTGGCCACTTCCAATGAGGCAGTCCTTGATGTCTGCTCCCTTCTCAATCACAGCATTATTACAGATGACACTCCCCTGGATGTTGCTTCTGTAATACAGTAGCCAAGTTAGGGTATACCACAGCTCTCGTCATCATTTTCACTACTATGGATTGGGGGTCTGGCTCCTCCCTTGGCTAGGAATAGCTGGTCAGTCCAGTAAATGGCTACTTGTCTCAAGTTATCACTGGGAGGCAGCATGGCTCAGCTGAGTGAAGGGAGGACACAACTTTAGAGAAATCCAGGGTTGGGATATATTCATAATGGATTTGAAAAATCTGAAAAGAGCAGACATTCTGACTTCATTTCTTTAGGCACCCCAGACCTGGAGGTCTAAATTCCATCCAATCTCTTCTCCTTTGGTCTGGGTGTGGAGGCTGGCACTGGTCCCTGGCCCAACCCAGCACTCCTGCTTCTCATCTGGAACTATATATCAAATTTCATTTGAGGTTCGGATCCCATGACTCTTCCTAGGAGATCAGCTATGGAAACAATGGATACCCCACAGCTCTCATCACATACTCTGGTTAATCAAAACCATACTCATTTAGGAAAAAAGGATGTTTTTAAATCAGCTCAATGCCACATAAAAGACTACTCTAGACCCTAAAGCTATACTCTGAAGAGTAACACTGCTTGCTCTTAGCATTTAAATGTTTAAAGAGTATCTTCTTGGCTCCTAGAGACCAGTGGGTAGGGGGAAAGTCCTTTTGAAAATTCACTAGCATTTATTGAATACTTACTCTATGCCTCGTACTATGCTATATATATATAAAATAGTTTATTTTTACATCATTTTGTACATTTTTTTTTCATCTCAATTGTAATCCCCATGGGTTTTCCATCACCAAGTCACCCATGTGCCATCACCATAGTCCTGTGCACTTGTACTATGCTATTTTAAACACTTTGTATATTATAGGAGTGACTTACAAATCTAGTCATTTTCTCAGAAAAAAATAGACTGGGCATGGTAATACACACATACGCACACACACACATCTTCAATGTTCTGGCCCTCATTAATCTTTCTTGGTAGAACAAAAAACCTTCTAAGACAATTCTGGGACTATCATTTTTACTTCTGAAGGTAAAATAACCACATTTTGCAAATGAGGTAACAGATTCTGAAAAGTTATGTCTTTTATCCAAAACTATGTAATTGCCAAGTAGCAGGCTCAAATCTATGTCTACCTGATTCCTGAACTTATTCATTTAATCATAATCCCCCCCCTAAAAAGAGGAGGGGGGGAAGTGAAGGAAGCCTGGAACTACTGAGCTGCTTTTCCGAGCTGAGATGGCACTGTGGAAAGAGTTCTGTTCTAACAATGGAATGTTCAGTATCTGAAAGAGTCAACTGGAGGAGAGTAGATGAATAGGAAGGGTGTGAAGATACATTTAAATAAAAGCAGACCAAAAAATCAACCAGGGAAAAATCCTCAAGCAGCCTGAGGGACACAGGGAATGAGGAAGAGGATATTTCAAAGATTGTAAACATTGATGCATGTGCCGTTAAAAGTATCTTCCCTGGCCCTCCCTGGTGGCGCAGCGGGCTACAGCACTGCACTAAGAAGATTAAGCCACTTCCTCATGAGTTCAATCCCCGGAGGAGATCCACATGGCGCGGCAAACCTCTCCTGACCCGCCAGCTGCTCCCCTCAGCAGTGTACTTCCTCGATCTGCCTGTTCTGCTCCCCACTCTGTCTCTGGTGAATCCTCTCACCCTCCGCATCTCTGGCCTGTACCCCAGTTCTGTATAAATAAATAAATCTTTAAAAAAAAAAATCTTCCCAAATGCTGGAACTTTATAAGCCATGCCTATTGTGATGTGTGCTGTAGTGATGGACAGAGATAGTAATAATTTGCTATTTGGGTCACTCAAGATACACTCAATGGGTGGGCACTAAGGGATCTTCCAAACGTTCCAATTTGCCTTCTATCTTCAGCAAGCAGTCCTGTCACCTTTAGGGTAGTTTCTGCTCCTTGGGGAAAATTATCCTCCAAAGAGGAAATATGAAATACAGAAAGCATAAGATACATAATACATAACAAGACTATTAGTTTGTCACTTAAAAATCTCTTTTCTTTTTTCAAGGAGTAGAGAGGACACTTTATGTTCCATAATTTCAGAGCCTGAGAATTCATGCTCTGGAGCTAAACAGCAGACAAGAGATAGGTCCCTCTATTTTCCACACCTGGTTGTGAGTGCACCCCCAGATTCTAAAGTCTCCAATGTGGGCAAAACCCTTCAGTTACCAACAAAAAAAGAGACTGTGTCACAGCTGTGCCTCTCTCTTAGGCTACCTTACCCTGGACACACTTCTAGCAAAAGTATACTGCAGTTTTTCCTATTCTCTCTTCCATGACAGTTTACTTGTAAAACTCCACTTCAGTCTTCCTTTAGGGACTATTATTTTTATCAGCATATTATTTTGATATATATTTGGGGAGTGGGTGAATCCCTCATTGTTATTCTTCTGCCATTATTTACTCACCAAATGAAAACAGCCGAAGCAGAAAAAAACCTTCATCTCTAATAAAATTAGTTAACTGCTGTGTTTCCAAACACAGACTAAAAAATAGTCACCAGACACAATTAAGTTTAAATCAATCCTAAAGAGAGCACAGAGATTTGACTGGAATAAGGGTCATGGGTGAACTAAAGGAGAAATGGAAAATATATATTTTGCAAAATCTCAAGACACATAGAACTAAAAGGGAAAAAACCTATAGCATATAGAAGGGAGAAAACTGGGCTGACCTCAGGATTTACCATGACAACATGTAAGACCAGGGGCCTCCCTGGTGGCACAAGAGGTTAACTGTCAGCATTATGCAGCTATCACAGCAGCCACTGCAGCATGAGTTCAACCCCTGGCCAGGGAACTGAGCCATGTGGCACAGCAGAACTCTCCTGTCTCGCCTGCTGCTTCCCTCAGCAATGTATTTCAGTAGATGTACCTGCTCTACACCCCAGTCTGTCTCTGGTGAATCCTCTCACCGCCCCCCACACCCCTGGCCTGCACCCCAGTTCTGATATCATTAAAAAAAAAAGTTAAGACCAGAGGTGAGTGAACAAAAGTTTAAAAAATTGGAAAGCTACTGTGATCCAAAAATTCTGTATTCGAGCCAAAACTAACACCTCAAAAGGAATAGATACTATTCCTTTCTTTATTCTTTTTTCTTCCTTTCCTTCCCATGGTGAGTACTTTTCTTAGAATGGACTGACCCCCAAAGTCTCTCAGGTTACCAGGAGACTTGCTTTGTGTGGACACAAGGGGAAACATACCCTTCTTCCACGGTGACTGAATTCATGAGAAGGCATTTGGTGATAGTCACTCTATCTCTTATGACACAGGATGAACCGATGATGGAATGCTTAATGGATGACTTCTCTCCAACCTGTGTATCTGCCCCAATGAGGCTGTCAACTCCAACCTGGAACAGGTGAATATAAAACCTTGTTCACTCATCTCAAACAGCTGCATATCAACTCCATATATCCCTTAAGTCAGGGTCTAATGGGGGTCCCTTAAGTCAGGGTCTAATGGGTGTCCTTCCCTAAAGACTTCAGAAATGGGAGTCATCACTAAGATTTTTCAAAGTCACAAGGTCACTTCATACCTCTGATACATAACTTAGCATTCACTAATGTACCTGTGTGTACAGATGCACTTTTGAAAAGTGCTCCAATCAGGGTAAGAAGAGGGACAGAGATGAGACTGAGTCCAAGAGTATAATAAATCTTTCCTTATAGACACTTGTGGCTGGGATCAGCATTTGTCCAGGCAGTCTTTGTGAATGCCTAGGCTAGAAGGGGAGGTTTTAACCAAGTGGGTTTTCCTAGGGCTAATGATGTTCAGGGCTTGAGAGTACCCTAATCTAGCTTCTCAAGGATAACCCTCAATGCTTCCAAAGACTGTTCCATGCCTGCCTGACCATGCTAGCACTTACCAGCTGTTTGCTGACAATCTGGGCTGATGAATGGATCAGTGATTCTTCTGGACAGAGAACAGGTAGCAATTTGGGCACCTTGAGGAAAGAGGTTTGAGTACTAAAGTAAAACCAGAAAATACTTGAAAACACCTTAGGTAGAACCCAACAGCCACAAATGTGGAGAATTTCCAACCATAGCTTCCCTTCTGAGTGAGGCAGAGCAGGAGACTGATGCCTTTCCTTTAGAACAAAAACTATGCAGCAGCTTCTAGATGGTCTTACTTTCTCCTAGATGAGAGTTTCTTTACTGAAAGTAATGCTATATCCCTCAGCTGGGACAGAGTGAGACAAGCCCTAAAAAGGGCAAGGAACACCCCAAGTCCTGACCATCCTAAGTTCTGGCTCACTGCCTGGACCACCTGAACCAAGTGAGGATGCAATGTTCGATAAATTCAACAATCAGGACAGACCCTACGAAGATATCCATGTACTTTATCAACTAAAAGGAAATGTTGAAGGGGAAATACACAGTATTCTCTCTCCAGTATGAGAAAACTGAAAAGGTCACAAGTGTGGAGAATTTCAGCTGTGGATTGTTAGAAGGCACAGTGTGAAGTGGTCACATGGTTAAAAGAAATCTTACCAAAACTGACTACACCGGCAATGTGAAGGCTATCCCTTCAAGTCCTACTCCTGGGAACTCCTCTATTACATTCCAACCAAGACCATTCAGACATATTTGCTGCATACTCTCTGCTGGTACTTTGGAGCCTAGCTATCCATGAACCTGCTATCTATAGTCACAGAATTGAAGAAAGAGAACTGGAAAAAATATATATATGTATATATATTTATGCATACAGGACTGGGGTACAGGCCAGAGGTGTGGAGGGTGATAGGATTTACTAGAGACAGAGTGGGGAACAGAACAGGCAGATCTCCTGAGGTACACTGTTGAGGGGGAACAGCTTAAGGCACCTTGAAGAAAGAGGTTTGAGGTCTGTGATGCCATCTGGGTCATCTCCCTGGCTGGGGATCGAACTTGTGTTACAATGGCTGCAGATTGCTTCCTAGTGCTGAGCTTTAACCTGCTGCACCACCAGGGAGGGCCCCCTGAAATTAAATTAAGGAAAAGTTCCAATCCTAACTTGGGGCTAATTTTACCTTTTTAATCTTAAATTATAACTAACTTTACCTAGCACTGCCCTAGCTATACATAGGATTACTTGTGATTTCTTATAAATGTTCTTGCTTGGATGCATTCCCTTGGATCTATATGCAGTCCGGGTCTTGAGGCCAGTTTAAAGTCTAAGGGCTGAGGTTCTAGCCATCATATGGTGTGGATCCTGGAGATTCCTGAGTCAAATTTTCTTCAGGGACTAAATCCCAATTTTCAACATTATCTTTTATTGTACCTACCCTCCTACCTCCAACTTGCATCTGCAATGACAGTTTCACAGAACTTTACCAGAAGCTGTATCAATGCTGATCTTTTCACTACCTCATCCCTTGAATGCACAACCCCTGTGGAGTTATATTCCTATTCTCAACACTTTACTGCTGTCTCCTTTTCATGGTCTCATCATCCTTTCCTCCTATAAACTTCCTCCTGGGGCCTCCCTGGTGGCACAAGGGGTTAAAGTGTAGCATTATAAAGATATCCAAGTCATTGCAGCACAAGTTTGATCCCAATCCCTGGCCAGGGAGCTGACCCACATGGTGCAGCAGACCTTTCCTGTCTCATCTATTCCCCTCAGCAGTGTATTTTAGTAGAGCCACCTGTTCTGCTCCTGATTCTGGTGAATCCTCTTACTCTCACACCTGTGGCCTGTACCTCTTATACTTGCTACACAATAATGAGTTCCCCCACATCTGCAGTCTCTTCTACCTTGCCTTAATTAAAAGCTGGTTTTATCTTTTAGGACACTGCTTCCTTTTCGTTCTCTATATTTCACAAATCTAAGGATTAGAGGAGAAGTTAGCATGATTCTGTGCCCTCTACAGTTCCAGACAATCTTCTCTTTCGTAGGAGTTCTTTCCTTGAGGTTTTGCCACCTGGCTACTCTATTCTCTCCCTTTACCTTCTTAGAAAGCCCTCTCTGTGCCCATGTTCACACTATCACAGTAACGATTACACAGTATTTGTCTGCTTGCTTATCAACACGGTAGATGTATGCATGTTGATAATAAGTGAAAGCTGATGAATCCATGGATCAGACATTCGCCTTTCTGGAGAGCTTTAGCCTTTCCTTGGAACCACAGAGGCCTCCATGGAGTAGGTCCTCTGCTTCTTCTTTTGCTGTACCTAGGTACCCTAATGGTCTCCCTGACATGCCAGGTCTTTGCACAACCTTGGGAATAAGAGGATTCTGAATAAGTTACTGTACCTAATGAAGAAATAATACAAAGGCTCACTACTACTGAGGCAGAAGCTCTCACAATTACTTCTCTAAACCGGCCTTCTCACCTGTCTATTTGCTTCCATGTAGAGTCCCAGGGTGCTCACTCGAGAGCAGAGCCCCTCTTTCATGATGTGCACATAGCAGCGCACCTGTGATCTGGACAAGTCTTCCCACTTGTTTTCTCGACAGGCATTCCAGCAGGCATCATAGGGGGCAAAGGTCAGTGTGTTGGCTTCTTTCAGAAAAGTGTAAATATCTTCAGAACCACCACCAAGCCGAGCAAGTGAAGAAACAGATGACAGAGTCAACTGAGTTTTCAAAGGGGGAACAATTCATACCTCTCCTCTGGAATTCACCCATGCTCCATGGACCCTGAGGAGTCCCTAAAAGCTGAAAGACTAAGTTAAAATAATAGATATAATGGTTTTTTTCTGTATATTTGGGCTGTATGATAAAAGAGGTTCTATAAGCAAATTTGACTAATAATCAAGTATTGGAGAAAATAAAATAGATAACTCTTGTAAATCATGAAATAACACAAGCAAATGTCCAGGCTTTAGTTAGCAGCTACGCTGGCTTTGTGCTGTTAGCCTCCATTACCATATCTTGTAAATGTACAATGGCAGACATAGCACAGGACATGAAGCCAGAGTATCTGTGGTCCCTACTTTGAAATCTTCTATTTTGTGACAAGAAATTGGGGCTCAGAAGATTGAGTGGTCTGCCTCAGGTCACAGAGCTAATGAGAGGCAGAATCATATGCCAGTTCTACAAAATTGTAACCACCAGGCTATATACCATTTCCATAGATTCATTTGTTAAAATTTATTTTTTTGGTAATATCCACTATGAGCCCAGGACTAGGTCAGGGACTAGGCAGGAATATGAGTGCATACAATACATCCTTAACTTCACCCTGAAAATGAGACAGTCTGACTTGTCTCTGGTTGGATTCTAATAGAAGATTCTACACCTTTCTTCCCATGACAGAAGGGGCTGAGTTTAGTCAGGAATGCAGCAGCCTAAAGCAAAAAGAACAGGCAGGCAGAGTTTAAAGTTATACAGCCAAACCAGGGTTGTGCATTGAGGATGGAACTGAGGCAATTAGCCTGTCTCCAAAGGACATGGTGAAAGGATCTCCCTGAGCAAGTTCAGAAAGTGGCATCTGCTATTCTGCTTCGTCTTTTGGCTAGACAAGAATCTTTTGCTTGGGACAGATAACATCGTGGGCTGAGCTAAACTGCCCAGCTACTCTTTCCAACGGCGCTGCCATCCTGCCTTCCTTACTTTACCAACCCAAGTACTGACCTAAGGATTTCAGTTCCTTTTTCTTTAGATCCTCCTCTTTTTCTTCTTGTCCTTGTTGTGAGGATGCTGAAGAGAACTGTTTTCTTACTAGGTATGGAATCAGTTCACTCCTGATAGAAGTGATTGACCTAGGAAGAAAGAGTGGTCAAATATGAGAAATCTGACTATTTGAATCTTAGTGGGATTAAAAACTGTTTCCAAGGAAAAACCAAATTCTTTCCTACATTATTACCTTAGGACAGATAATGATCAAAGTGATATGGATTTGGCAGTTTTAACAAATAGGTGGTAAGTCTTCTATCAGCTTTAGACCAAGATAGAAGGTCTGAGGTGCACTTTCCCTGGCCTCTGCAGACAAGTCTTTACAAAGTCTTACCTACATGGTGTGTGCATGCATGTGTGTACCTGTGTCTTAACATGGTGCCTTGACTCTGACTGACAATAACCCATGAAAAGACAGATGCTCTGGTCATTTGAAAAAAGTTTCAAAAACATTTAAGAATTTTCTTCTGTTAATTTAAGAATTAATGTAAACATTTAAGAATTTTCTTCATAAACATAAGAATTTTTTTTCTGTTAATCCTATCTTTTATTTTTTGTTAATACTATAAATGGTGGCCTTTAAAGAAATTATTCTATTATTGTTGGTTTAATGAAAGTCAATTTACTCTATATTCTAATCTTGTAGCCAATTGCTTGGTAAGCAATCATACTAATTCTAATGATTTATCAATAGATTCTGACAATCATATCAACTATATAATTTTCTTTTTTTAAGATTTATTTATTTATGCACATAAGAACTGGGGTACAGACCAGAGGTATGGGGGGTGAGAGGATTCAGAGATAGTGTGTGGAGCAGAACAGACAAATTGACAGAAATACACTGCCGAGGGGAGCAGCGGGTCGGTCAGGAGAGGTCTGCCGTGCCAAGGGTCACCTCCCTGTACGGGGATCCAAACTTGAAGCTGCAGTGGCTGTGTAAGTAGCTTCATAGTGCTGCACTTTAGTGCTTCACCAGGGAGGGCCTAATTTTTCTTTCTTCTTTTACAATTACTGTCTGTTATTTAAATTTTTCATTGTCTTACCATATTGACTAAGACCTCCAATATAATGCTGAATAGAAGCACTGATAGCAGTCATCCTTACTTGTTGATTTTAAAGACAAGAAGCTATCCACAGCCACTGCAGCATGAGTTCAATCCCCAGCCAAGGAGGAGACCCACATGGCATGGCAGACCTCTCCCAACCTGCCCACTGTTTCCCTCAGCAGTGTATTTCAGTCAATCTGCCTGTTCTGCTCCCCAGTCTGTCGTTGGCAAATCCTCTTACCTCCTGCACCTCTGGCCTGTAATCCAGTTCTCATATGCATAAATAAATAAATCTTAAAAAAAAAAGTTCTTTTTTAATCATTCCTAACTTGCCAAATGCTTTCATCGATGAATAGGGATTGAATTTTATTAGAACATTTCTTCCCTCTTTTAATCTATTATGGAGATGAATGATATATATATTTTTAAATACAAACAGCTGCTTATATAAGCACGGTTACATGATTTCTGCTCTGCTCCCTCAGTAATTATACTGAGTGATTCTTTGCTTCTTTATGCAAATTATCAATTTTTAAAATTTTAAGCAGTTTTTTTACTTATTTTGTTTGTCGTATTTTTTGTGAACTTTTACAGTACTACTTTCCTGGTTGGATTCAAACTGTAAATTTAAGATTCATTCTAGTGACTAAATATACCCCATGCAGATTTCTTTTTCCCACACACTTAAAGTAAGTTAACAATGGCTATTAGAGAATTCCCACAACAAAGTTAACTTAAATTTACTTTTAGTCATTCAAATCAATCTAAGATAGTATTTTTAAAAAATCATTTGACTTTTTTTAAGTTCCAGGAGGTATGGTGCTTCTGATGGGTATCAAGACAGGCTAGTAAGGTAAATGACCATGAATTTGTTATGGGGAAGAAGGGACCTCACTCACAATATAGTGAATATGCTTTTGCTTTATACTTAGCCAGAGAAATGAAAGCACGGAATGGTGAGAGACTAGCACATTTCTCTCTTCCAATGACTATTAGAATTTTAAATAACTAATTCATGTAGGATTTACCAAATATTTATTAATAAGTCATTCACTATGCTAAATCTTGTAAATTCACTGTTTCTGACTTCAAAGAATTCACAATCCAATGAGGAGTTGTGTGATTATGGAAAAGGTAGGAGGACATGCTAATTAGGTAGGCAAGGCAGTCAGATCACCACCATGTTCTGTGGCGGTATAGAAAGTCTGGACTGAGAAGCCAGTCATAATTTTAAAGAAAGAAAGTGATATGATCAGTTTTATTTCTTAGTAAGGTTATCCTGGAAGTAGTAAAAATAGGCCTGAAACAAGGAGAATGTAGCCCTGAAAGTGAAGACAGGGAGGCCAGTTCAAGACTCTGAGAGATGAGATTATGTGGCCTGAAGGAGGGATTAATGTATACGCAGTCTCTATAAACCTGGCAGCTGCTGAATACTTTCCACTCCCTGCCCTAGTTCCCATTCAAAAAACCAAGAGGCTGGCTCTTCAGACTAACATGGGACCACACAGGTGGAGTATAGGTAGGAAGGAAAGACAGGCGGAGGCCGAGCAGGGTAGTAAAATTATGAACCCTGGAGCTATGCAGTTCATGGTTTTAGTCATTTTTAAAGGATCAAGTCAACCTTCTTTAGAAGATTCTGTGTAAGCTGGAAGCTCATCTATGCAATTTCAATGTGATTTGCCTCCTGATCCTTTGATAGAGATTAAAAATTTCCATATAAATATAAAGGATGAAATAACACTCTTAGTTCTTTTTCCTCCCCTTTGAATGTGCCAAACCAGTGTGGGTAGCAAATGTTCCCTGGCCCCCTCTGGTGGAAAACAAGTCATTTCCCTTTGAAGAAATGACAAAGCATGGGCAGCTGGGGGATTTCAGAGCCATGATAGTTACATATGGTCAAAAAGAACTGTCACTGCAGACGGCAAGCAAACACATAGCCCCTCCAGACAGAGCCCTTTAAGGAGATCAGAGAGCAATCTGAAGGGAGGACATGAAGCAGTCCTGCTAGGTTACACCAGCCTCTGCTGGTGTCCCACATCAGTTCAGTTCCCATAATGCAGTTGGCTTAACAGCATAAGGGAGGACAAAATTATTCTTCCTGCTTACTAGTCAAAGTAGAGGTAGCTTAGAGCTGTGCCAAGGAGTGGGACAGGCTACTGTGAACCACTGTGAACATCCTAATCTTGAGGCTAAATACTAGCAGCTGGATCTGGTCCCTGGAATGGGTCAAGCTCACTTTCTCCCTTCCTTTTCATCTTCAGTTTCCTAAAAACACCTGCCTCATTTCATGAAATTATAAGTTCCTAAGAAATAAGAAATCACAAAAGAACAAAGATTGACTATTTGTTATAAACAACTTTACCAAATTAAAAAGACAAATAATTGTTATAACTAGGACAGAAGGTTAAAAACCTCATTAGATAAGTAAATATAAATGTTCAAAAATATTTTATTTATTTTTGCACAGAACTGGGGTACAGGCCGCTGGTGGGGGGTGGTAAGAGGATTCACCAGAGACAGTGTGGGGAGCAGAACAGGCAGAGTTATTGAAATACACTGTTGAGGGGAGCAGCAGGTGAGATAGGAGAGTTCTGCTGTTCATTGTGGGTCAGCTCCCTGGCTGGGGATGGAACCCAAGCTGCTGCAGTTGCTGGCTACAGCTTGCAGCACTGAGACTTAATCCCTGTGCCATTAGAGATTATTTTGTGATGCCAAATTTTCTTCCTTAGCAAGATACTAAAAGCTTCTCTGAGAATAAACTTTCAGTGTTGGTGCACAGGGCTTGAGAAAGAAAAATATGTTCATATTCTACATATTAGAGAGATTGCATAGGCTTAAGTCAATTCAATAACCATTTTATTCATTTGAGTTTACCTATTGAGCACTCAAAATGTGTCAGTCATGTTCTCGATAGTGGAGATAAAACTGAATGAAAACAGGCAATCCATCCATGCCCAGGAAGTTGACAATTCAGTTGCCTTATATTTACTGAGCATCTACTGTGTATCACAAGATGAATCAGAGTTGGTTTCTGTCTTCAAGGAGTTCAAAAAAAGAAAAGACAGACATGCAAATTTAGTAGGATACATATAATAATAGAATATTATGTATGGTATGAAGACAGAATGATTAATTATGCCAAATGGAAATAAGCACAGAATATTATGGTAGCATAGAGCAAGGGTATTTAATCTAAGTGAAAATGAAGGGAAAAAAATTAAGAGAAAATTTCCTACAGGAGATTAAGAGGAAGGAAAGGATACCAATTAAATTTATACTTAAAATGACTTATTTTAAAATCCTCACTAAACTAAATACATCTTTTCCTCTGGTTTTAGATTTTATGGTTCCATATGATACTTCTTTCTAGGAGTGCTTTAATGATAAAGCAAGTTTTTAAGTCTTCTTTACAAAGGTCATCTTTCCTACCAAAGTCTGACCCATAATTCTCTCTGATGACACAGGCAAGCTAATCCATCAATAAGTTAGTTTTAAGTAAGTACATATGCTGTTAAGCCTTTGTCCATTTCCCAGCAGCCAGAAGTCTCAGAGATCAAAATGAACGTAACTAAGAAGTTCAAAGGAGACTATGCTGATTAAATTTTGGTAACATCTGAATCTTCAGATGTCAATATGCTGTTACCATCTAACAGTCCTGTTAGACTGGTAATAAGATGCATGTTCTTGCTTTAATTTTTTTTTTTTTGTTATTTAAACAAAGTTTATGTCATACAACCTCTAGGACATCTAAAGGAAATCAAGTATAGACAAGTCATATGGCCATTTGAACTGAACATCGAGGAATCAAGCCTCCTGCTTCCATAGCACCACAGAGTCTCTCATTTCTCTTCTCTCCACTCTGCCTTCCTATGCTCCCTGTGCTCATGGCTAGCTACTTAGTTCATAACTTCATATTGCATGTGGTTTTAATTATCACCCTGATCGAGACCTTGTAGTACAACTGTGGTGTTTGCATTTTCCTGTTCCTATTTACCTTGCAATAAGTGAAACAATGGGACAGAACCAACTTAAAAGCAAAAACAAACAAAAAAGATTTTTTGTAAGCTGACAAGTTGTACAGCACATTACAATATTCAGTTTAAGCTCTGCTCTTGCTTTGCATATAAAATCCAATACATTTTCAATTAAATTGTTTGAGAATCTTTGGATCATTCATTGATAAACTGCATTCAGAAATGGAGAAAAAACTAAAACATACATATGCAATATATTTTTTAAAATAAAAAATAATATCGTATTATCTTGAATATATATACTAATATTGCAACTTACTTTAAAATAAACATAGCTTGGAAATCCTTCCATATCATCACAGAAAAGTCATATTTCACTTCCACAACTCTGAGGTAAAACTAATCTAGCCATGAATAAAGAATCGCCCTTAAGTCCTGCTGTAGTTCGTCATGCTGTGTCTATATTTTTCTAATACTAGTTTTTTTATATATAATATAGTTTATTTTTACATCATTTTGTACATTTTTTTTTCATCTCATTGCAATCCCCGTGGGTTTCCCATTACCGAGTCACCAGTGTGCCATCACCATAGTCCAGTGCACTTACCTCCCCCCCACCCCCCCACCCCCCATTTTTGATCCCATTCCCCCCTCCACCCCCACAAAATGTCTCTGGTATATGGCTGTTCATTATTCTTATTATTTTCCCACCAGGTCCATTATACTCCTGTTATGAAACCATCTGCTAATACCAGTTTTTAAAATAAAGTCTTTAATCCCAACAACTCTGAGAGGTAAAGGGTGGAGTGGAGAGTTAGAGAAAGGGTCTTTTTAACAGCTTGAGATGGGGTGGTTGTTTACACTGAGAATCAGTATCATTCTCTGTTGCAGAGGCTACGAAAAGTACTAGTTGGCAGAGCTTATGGCCAAGGGCCACAGAACCAGGCTTGTTCTCAAGGCACATACTATTGTCCTACACTTACTGGGTGTGGGAACAAGTAATTGGATGCGACCAAATGAGCCACAGTGGCCAGGTGCGAAGTTGTCTACATATCCAGACACCATAAATTACAATCCTATTTGATACCAATATGGAAACATTATATATTTTAAATGTGACAATGGAATTTCAGTATTTAAAAGATAAAAAGCTTATCTATATTTTAGAGATACATATTGAAATATTTACAGATAATTACAACAGAAATAGCTGCAGATGAAATTTTATTTTAATGACTTGATTTAAAGAATCTAGTATGATAGTGGGGAGATGGGTGATAGCATATTGGTCATGAATTGATAATTGCTGAAGCTTTGTTATGGGAATATAGGAATTCATTATGTTACTTTCTCCACTTTAGTATTCGTGTGGAATTTCCCACAGTAAATAGTTAAAAAAAAAATCATGATCTTGACCACATTGCATCACCTCCCAGCACATCAAAGTCAGGGCCTAAATCACATGCTTCATTTTCATGTGGGAGTAAAACATAAAGCCTAAAATGGCCAAAATTTAATTAACTTCACGTTTGGAATATAGATAGCCTGGACTGTTAACCGGAAAACAGGTCTTGGATCATGCTTTAATCTTGGTAGCAAATTTCCTTGCAATATAAAAAGCAAGGTCTCCTTAATTCACTCTGGAGCTCAGTCTGTAAATTCTGTGTGGACAGAACCTATTTCTGTTTATTCACCGTTGATCCCACAGTTGATCTAACATGATGCTTGCCTTATAATAGGTGCTTAACAAATTTTTGTTGACTAAATGAATAAAAAGAAAATTAAGTCAGTGGGAAGCAGAGCAACAGTGTCCTAGGGAGGGAAAGAAAGAAAATTTTCCAGTAATTTTTTTATTACTGGTTCTACACAGGCCTTCCTGTAGAGGTTTATCAAATGTGGAAGGAGAGGATACAGCAAGAAATATTATATGGGCAAAAAAGAACAACTCCCCATTTTGTGTTTGTGCAAGTCCATCAGACATTTAACTCAAACTCTTAGACTCTCCTTTAACTCAAACTCTTAGATTCCTTTCCCTAACTGGTCTGAAGAACCTTGCTGCTGTAGTTCAGCCCATTTGCTTTCTGGTCTGCTAGTGCTATTCAAGGCTGAAACTCAGAGCAGCCATTAAAGGATACTAACTGTTGCATATATTATAGTTATGCTTTTCTACTTGTTTCTCTGAGTAATCCTTGCATTTCCTATCTAAAATCCTTGAGATTAACTGCAAAAGGAGGTTCTCTCTAGAAACAAGTCTTATGATTTTCCAGAAACAGTTTCTGAGGAGAACTTAAGGTCTACAATTCAAACCAAAATCAGGAAAAGTACCAAAACTTGTTTCTGCATCATGAATACTCACTCAGGGATGTGGACTTCTTTCTCAAAATTGGAGTGAAATTTGTTCTTTTTCCCCTCCTCTTAAGTAAGTCTCTAGCCCTTTGCCAAGAGGGCTAACCCAAAGGATAATTGTCAAGGGAAGGACATTTGCTTTCAGATAAAGAACATTAGAGCTAGGAAGCTCACCCTTGCTGAAGAAAGTAAGAAGAGTTTGGAACTATGTAGAGAGAAGCATCAGAATTACTGTTAGTTGTACAAAAATATTTTATACTCGAATACCCCCAAAATACAAGGCAGGGGTGTCTTTGTGGTATAGCCAAAATAACAGTATGCTGATAACATGACTTCATTTCTAAAACAAATGTGTCATTCACTTAAACTGGTTAGCTAACAGTTTAAAATCATTAATCCAGTCACAAGATTGTTTGACTCCACCTGCTTCTTTCTTACTTATTTTCCATGAGGAAGTCCACCACGTATTTTTTCAAGCAGTAGAGATGGGCATCCACAAGGCCTGTGTGGAAACGTATTCTAGGGTGCCTGCAAAAAGGATAAGAGAGAAGGGGCTCAAAACCAGGTAACAGTTTGCAGCTAGCCCAAAAGCAAAGGCTTAAGGATACTGATATGGGAGTTCTTTCAGAAATAACCTAAATGTATGACTTTATAAAAAGAAAGAGTTAAAAGTATAGTAGAATAAGTTTCAGAATCCATGCTGGTTAAGATACCTCAGGTAAGCTTGTTGATCAGGTAAGCTTGATATTTCTCCACCCTACCCCCAGCTGTAAATTATGGAAGTATTTTAGGAATTATGGCTTGTTGGTAATAGTGGGGATACTAATTTAGATAAATAGCATTTCAAGGTTGTCCATACCATCAGGTAAAGTTAAAGTGCAAATCCAATTATCATCATTTGTGGCCTCAGAAATATAGATCTGACCATAATCCTGGAGGTTTTATTTAAATTATTGCCTTTCCAGATATAAATGTCTAAACTTTCCAAATGAATGTGTGAATATTTTATTTAAGAGATGTCCTTTAGAACTTTTAAAAAATATTTTCATTACCCTTACAGTAAAAAAAACCTTGACTAGTATTCAAAAGAAAACAACCTAACATTAAGGAAAAGTTACATGAATTTCTTATTAAATATTTGGCACAAATGCCTTTTACTTATGAGTTATTAAAAACACATGTCTTTCAGAAATAAAACAGGGATTTTAGAACTGGAGGGAGGCGTCTTTAAAGGACTATGCCAATTTCATCTGGGGGAAACTGAGACTTAGAGAAGCAAAGTGATTTGTCCAAGGTTATTTAGTGGCTATGTCTCAAGACTAGATTCTAGGTCATCTAAACTTGTATTTCCAGTACCCTGCTCTTCCTGCAAAATTCTTTCCTACTGTATATAATGCCTCTCCAAGTCAGTAACATATCAATTCAACATGTGGGAAAGGTAGTGTGCATTCTCTAAGTCCATGGTTAAATAGAGGTGGGGAGACTGCCTCTGGTTTTGACTACAAGCCTAGCCGACTCCTACTCCAACAAGTGTCTTATAATACCTCGCTGTCCAGGACCAAATATGCCCAAGTTCCAATGAAACAAAACAAGAAAATAGTAATCATTGCAATCAAGAAAATAGTAATTCTCAGGCCTCCCTGGTGGTATAGTAGTTAAGGACACAGTGCTATTAAGACATTGCTAGCCATCTCCAGCCAGAGAGCTGACCCACATGGCACAGCAGACTTCTCCTGTCCCACCTGCTGCTCCCCTCAGTAGTGTACTTCAGTAGATCTGTCTCTGTCCTCTCACCCCTCCCACACCTCTGGTCTACACCCTAGTTCTTGTGTGCATAAATAAATAAATAATAAAAAGAAAATAGTAATTCTCTTCTGAGAAATGGAGAAAACAAAAAGTTTGCTCATTCCATCATTGTCCTTTTTCCCTATAACCAGTACAAAAGTAAGAAATAAGAGGTTTCCAGTTCTGTATTAGGTAGATAAAAATAACTTTCTAAGATTACTTTGATATATGCCCAACAGTAACTAGCCCCTCACTTTTGAATATTCAGTTAAGAAGAAGATAGAAAGTATTATAATCTCATATTTAGAAATGCTTGGAAAATCTGAACTTAATTAGCTTTTATCAGCCATCTCTCTGAGGTCAGCCAGGAGAAGCACAGTGCTCCAGAGGGTAACAGGAATGAAGGGAAGAACTTTTTTATTACTTATTTATCCAGTCAGCGGCCTTATTACAAATACATGCCAAAGATCCCAAATCACTGGGGTGTAGATTCCAAGTTAGAACAATGGAAAAATATCTTCCAACAACCAAAAAATGCAACCAAATCTTAAGAAACTTCTAGATTTGATCTTAATGGCCCCAGTGCTTCCCCAAAGCCTGAAATGAACAGCTATAAGGGAAAAATACAATTCTATCAACTCTTCATTTTCACTTACTTCTGACTATGTCCATCTTCTTTGTTCACATCAGGCCCAAACCTTGCTCACTTTGGCAGGAACCACTGGACTAAGGCCTTCACTAATAGCTCGCTATATGGAGCAATTAGCTAGTTCCCAAAACTAGGAGGTTAGAGAGAAAGCAGGAGACAGTCTCTGCCCTCCAGTAATAACTACAGAAATATATGGTTCTGGCTTTCTAAGAACTTAATGTTTAAACTTGTCAACTCTAACATGGAGCAAAGAGTGAATACTGGTACTTGATGGATTCACAGTTGTCAGATCATTTGTTTCATATTAAAATAGATAATCACAGTTATCTATTTTTCTTTCTGTGTTTCAAAGGACACAATCCCTTTAACTTTTGGAATCTTCTACCTTCAGCAATGCAACACTGTAATGTCTTTACACCATAAACCTTAAATCTATACTGTATACTGCTATTAGATTATCTTTCCAGGATCCTGAATTTGAACCATCATTTCACTCTTCCAAAAGTCTTTAATAATGCCCTGGAATTCAAGATCCTTTTTTTTTAAATTCTTAGATCATCTGCAACAGAGATTTAATTTTGTAAAAGTTTTGAGATGAAATCTTTCTCCTTCATATGTACACATGTTCCTCTTGTCCTCCACCAAACCATCCCCACCAATGCTCCATTTACCTCCCTATTCCCTACTTTCTCCTGTTCCCTCTGGTAAACAGTATATTTATTTTTCACTAAGTCCAAGATATGTTCCTGTTCCATACACAAGATTTTGCTTGTGTATGTTTTTGTTATTTATATTATAGATGTGAAACTATCTGATATTTTCCTTTCATTTTCTGATTTGTTTCATTTAATATAAACACCTCAACCATGCATTCTGTGCCAACA